ACACACACACACACACACACACACACACACACACACACACACACACATTCTCATACAATATCATTAAGCCTCCAGAGACAGGTGTATGGGATAAACACCTGGGTTCTGAATGTATTTCCTAGTGTGTGAGGTCTGAGGTGCATTTTTCTTATTACATATTCTTCTGCATATGTGTGTTGGGGGGAGGGGGAAGATAAAGACTTTTCCTCTGCCCTCTTCATCTCAGTTCTATTTAGCAGACTGCGTGTGTGTCCCAAACAACTTTAACTAAGCTCCCTCTCCATTTACAGAACACTGATCCAAATAAAGTCAAATTTATTTGCATCCCCCCTCCACCTACCCCATGTTCTGGTCCACACAGCCTGGGAAACACACCCAAACACACAAACATATTATGCTCTTTCTTTTAAACACAAAACACACACACACACACACACACACACTTCTGCTCCAAACTTTTCCTCTGACATTGGGGGACCTCAAGGAGTCTATCTCAACTTAGAACTCCCACCCCAACTATTTAGCTGGGGGACAGTGTCTAGAAGCTCTGTTTGCCCCCTCCCATCTCACAGGATGAGAGGGGCAGAGCCTGGGGACTTGGAGAAGACATTGACTGACACTTATCTCCTCCAGGGAGCTGACCTTCTGCTCACCCTTTTCTCTCCCTCCCCTAGGTGTCCCAGGGCTCAGCCTGAACTCTTCTTCCTGTTCCTTGCCTTCCCCTCTTCAAAATCAGAGACAAGAATGAAACAAAGAGATGGGTCAGTGGGGGGGCATGGAATGAGGACAGAGGGATGATGGGATAGAAGGATTAGGACAGAGTTAGGAGGATAGAATGAAGGAACAGAGGGAAGGACAGATGGATAAATATTAGAGGGATCAAGGGAATTGGGACAGAGACATGGGGGACAGAGAAGGTAGGAACAGAGGGAGTAGGGACAGAGAAATGGGAGGCAAAGGGATGGAGGCAGAGGGTTGAGGGACAGAGAAATAAGGTATAGAGGGATAGGGGGACAGAGCTGGGAAATGGTTGAAGAAGAGGGATGAGAGAAAAATGAATGAAGAGACAGTGAGATGGGGAACAGAAGAGGGATGGGGCAGGGAGACGAGGTATAGAGAAGTTGAGTGGGGGACAACAGAGGGATGGAAATAGAAAGATGGAGGATAGAGTGGTAGAAAGAAATAAAGTTCAAGGGAATTGGGCCAGATGATTGAGGAATAGAGAGATAGAGACATATGGGGGTGGGAAGAAGGGGGCAGAACCAGCAAACTGGAGGGACATCAGATAGGGGAGACAGAGGGATAATGTAGAGGAAGATAAAAGGAAATGAGGAAAGGAAAAGAGAAAAGTATAAAAAAAGAAAAAAAAGATAGAGATAAGGATGGGAGAAAGGGCTAGGGACCATGGAATAAAGTGATAGAGGGAAATGGGATAGACAGATGGGGATCAGAAGGATGAGGAACAGAGATGGAGTTCAAATGAATAAAGGCAACGATCAGTGAGTGAAGAAGGATGGGGTCCAGAGGTAGAAGTACAAATAAGTGGGGCCCAGAGGAATGAGGACAGAGAGATATGGGATGCTTAATGAACAAGTGGATAGAGGGGTAGGGATATCAAAAGAAGGATTGGGGACCAGAGAGGTGGATAGAAAGAAGGTTGGAGGAAAAGAAGAATGGGGAACAGGAATGGGTAACCAGAAGGATTGGGGGAATAGAGTGACTGGGACAGAGAGATGGAGAGAAGTGAGGAAAGATAAATGTGAAACAGATGGATGAAATAATAGATTGATGGAAGGAAAGAGACTTCAAGGAGGGAGGGTTGCAGGGAAAGAGAAATAGGGGACAGAAAATGAAGAAGTAGAGAGATGGTGATAAAGGGATTAGGATAGGGGAATGGGGACAAAGGGATAGGGGACAGAAGAATAATGGACAGATAGATGAAGGACAGAGGGACTGAGATGGAGGGAAAGAGGAATGGAGGTATAGAGACATGGAGAAAAAGAGCAAAGAGGGACAGAGGGATGAGGACTGAAGGATAAGAGAAAGAAGGATGGAGGATAGAGGGATGAAGGGACAGATAAAAAGAAAGACAGATAAGAGATGGAGTGATGGAGGGCAAGAGGGATATAGGACTAAAAGATAGGAGCAGGACAGAGAGAGAGACAAAGATGAGGAAAGACGGATGGGAATGAAGGTATAAGGACTGAAGTGAATGGAAGAAAGCAGGTGGGTGACAAAAAGTAGGACAGATAGACCAACTGGGACAGAGATATAAAACAGAAATAAGGAACAGAGAGATAGGGACAGAAGTGTGAGTGACAATTCAACAGGAGGTTGAGGGAAAGAGATTTAGACAGAAGATTGGAACACACAAGGATGGGGCAGATAGATAGGGGACAGAGATGGAATACAGAGGGAGTAGATACAGAAAAATGGAGAGATGGGGAACAAGAGAGATATGTGAGAGAGATGGAGAGACAGAGAAACAGCAGACAAATATGGAGAAAAAGAGGGATTGATTGGGAGAGACAGGAGGACAGTTTGGAGGGAAAGAGTGATGAGGCATGAGGGGGAGGACAGAGGGAAAGCTTAGGGATGAGTGAACATTGGGAAGGGAGAGAAGGAAGGGGAGAGAGATTGGATGAAGATAGAGATGTGAGACAGAGACAGAGACAAAGGAAGAAGAGATGGAAAACAGAGGTATGTGGAACAGAGATAGGAGAAACAGAGAGACAGAAAACAGGAATACAGAGGGTGGATGGAAAGAGGGATGGGGGAAAGGAGGGATGAGGATAGAAAGATGTAAGACAGCTGAAGAGATAGCTAGGATAGGGAACAGAACCTGAAAAAGAGGAGGGTGAAGATAAAGAGTGGGGAGATAGATGGAATAGAAGAATGGTGACATAATCAAGTGGGGACAGAGATACTGGGAAGAGAATGATGAGGACAGAGACACTTCACCAGGATGGAAAGATAAGGGCAGAAGAATGGGGGGAAATAATGAGCACAGAGATTTGAGACAGAAGTAGAGAAACAGGGATGGAGACAATAAATGAGCATAAAGGGCTGGGAAAGAGTTGGAAGACCTGAAGGACTGGACAGATGGGGTGGAGAGGAAGAGAGATGGGGACCTAAGGATAGGAGCAGAGGTGGAACTGGAGAAACAGGGGGGTAGAGACAGAGAGAAGGGATCAGATAGAGAAGGATTGGGGCAGAGAAATGAGACAGATCTGGAGAGAAGGGTTGGGGAGTTAGAGAGATAGAAAAAAGAGAGATGGGAAAAAAGTATGAAGGGGATGGAGGATTAGGGAATGAGTATGGCATGACATTAGCCAAAGATGCGGGGATAGAGTAATTGAGAGTCAGAGGGATGGGGACAGGGGGGTGGAGGATAGAAAGATGGGAGAACAGTGGAAGGGGGCAACATTTCAATGAGTGAGAGGAGGTGGGGACAGTGGGATGGAGAAAAAGAGGGATAGGGGACAGGAAGATGAGGACAGATGTGAGACAGAGCTAGAGAGACAGGGATGGGAGATAGAGGGATAGGGAGAAAAGGTGGGGGGATGTAAAGGAGATGGGGGAACATTAGAACAGGAGATACAGGGAAGGGGGAACCGTGGGATAGGGAACAGGGATGGAGGATAGAATGATGGGGATAGAGATAGTTAAGAACTGGAGAGGCAGAAATTAGGAACAGAGAGAGATGGAGGGAATGAGGGCTGGAGATAGGAGGATGTGGGATCAGAGAGTGGGGAAAGGAGCTGGAGAGTTGGAGAAATGGAGACTGGGTGCATAGGGACGAAGGATAAGATCTCAGTGATGCTGGCTAACTGGGGACATGCATCCATACTTACTCTCTGTGCCATGGGCCCCCAGAATTGGGGCCCACGTCAGGCAGCTCCAATGTCTGTCCCTTGCCAGATCCGGGCCTGGGGGCTGGGCTGTGGAGGGTGAGTGGGGACACGGGTTGCCCCCCAGGTTCCCCCCACAGCCCAGGGCCCCCCTCTTTCTGCTCAGTGGTGGGCGTAGTGTTCTGTCATGAGGACCCCAGAGCACAGCCTCCTGCCCAGCCCCCAGGGGTCAGTGCCCTGGCTCCAGGGGCATCCCAGGCTGGTGGAGAGAGTTGGGGAGTAGATCTGGACCCCAGGATGGAGAAGGAAAGGCTCCCTTGAGCCCCAGCCACCTCTCAGTACCCCAGAACTGGAGCCTCAGTGAATCCAGTAAGACAGTGAAAGAGAAAAAGATTCAGGGAGAGACAGAAAGAATGAAAGAAAGAAAGACAGAGATCAGAGAGGGAGGGAGGGAGAGGAAGGAAAGCTGAGAGGAAGGGACCGGTGTGGGGAGACCTGGCCCCACTGGCAAGGGGCTGGGCTGGGCCCCTGGGTCCCTGGTGTGGGGGCTGGTAAGCAGCTGAGTGGATGCTCAGCTGTCTGCCTCTGTGTGTGTGTGTGTCTCTCTCTGTCTCCCTCTGTCTCCCTCCTCTCTCTCTCTGTGATCATATCCGGAAGTTCCCACATCACCCAATCCTTAACCCACTGTCCGCCGGCTGCTGGAGGGGCCAGAGCTGAAGCCAGAG